AAAAAAAAAAAAAAAACACCCAGTCCCACAAGCCTCAAGTCCTCGAAGCCTGTATTGCCTGGTTTGGCTGCCGGCACTTTGCAAAGCCTCGAAGCATCGAAATCCTTGAGTTTGCTGAACCTGGGGGCGGCTCGCAGGCGAATTAGGTAGCACCTACATGTTCAAGAGACTAGGATTTTGCAGAGCGTGGACCCAAACTGGGAGTACGAGGTCACCTAGGTCAAGTGTTTCTGGGCGGTTGTCCCTTACAGGTGTTTTGAGGCCACTGATGAACAACCCAAATATCCACCAACATTAATCGCCGCCTTTTACTGCAGAATCTGATGGCTCACGGTACGAAAGCAACCGCGCAGTGATACAATCAGGAAACACATGTCTCGCAGCATTTCGTCCAAACAGTGTTCACATGCCAACGAACAAAAGGTACAAAACATTGGGGCAAGGCCTTGCCCATGGCGTCGAGTGAATGGGCATCAGAGTATGCGGCGCTTCACACTTTCAGCGCCAAAGATACATCGCCTGACCGCACCACCAAGTCCAGGCGATCCTTGAGCAAGGATCCCTCCAGTGACAACCTCTTCGTCGACATCGATGCAGAGCCTTCATGCGCCAAAAGTGCATCTTGGACAGAGCAATCTTTTTGTGAAGCACCCCGCAGAGGTTCCGCATTATCGACACGCAAGTTTGAGCTTGGAATCGCGATATGCCATAGGAGTAACATTTTACGGGGGTTTGACATTATGTGCCATGCCTTGGGTTGGACCAAGCGCTACATCAGACGTACGTACGTATCAGGTGCGCCTTAGCCAAAACGCTTTGCAATGCCAAGGGCATGTTCCTCGAAGGCCTGATCTACCATGAGCTGCAGCCGCTGGAAACCATCGACGAAGCTGTCGGTTTCGCCACATCGCACTGGACCGGTCAAGGGTCCATGCTCAGTTGCAATTTGCCTGCACATGTTGCAGTTAGATCTGCGGCAGTCGGCCTTTCTGGAGCAAGAGCTTGGTGACATGAATTTCAAGTTCCACATTGTTTATCTGTTGTGTGGTGATTTGTGGTGCATATGGGGGCCATGCGGTTGTTCCATTCTCTTGCTGCTAAGGTTTATGGCGAGACAGCCTGTGCAAAAACATGTGGTGGGAAAAAACACATGTTTTGTTGTTTATTCTGGTGCTGTACTGTAAATCTGTCTGTATGCGTATTCCGACATTGCAATGTAGAAGCCATAGCTGTATGCAAACTTTTGCTTTGAAAGTAATGAACGTGGTTTTGCGGATGTGCATCCCAAATCGATATATACGATCATTGGCAGGCCGGCCTGGTAGCCTTAGTAAGACGCCGAGGTGTTTTCACGTTGGTGGCTTCCGCGATGGGGGCCGGCTGCCTATCCCTGCCCCACATGTTCAGCAGCTGGTTCTGTTAGACGGTTGATTTGAGCTGTCCCAGGTTAATTATTCTAGTCGTTGCTGTATGCGTGGCTGCACTTTGGAAAGCATTTTCGTGAGTATTTGCCTGAAATCTTTCCGGTAATGGCATCGTGTGTGATCGCCCCACTGATATCCAACGAACCCGCAAGATGAATGATAAGCAGCCCAAATGCCGAAAAACGATATAGTATTGGCGTGATGTTTATTCAAAACTGCGTGGGGCTCTCCTTAAAAGTCCTTGAGCAACCCTTGAAAAATCGGCTTGGGGTCACGAAGCGTTTCACGTGAAGCCTTTGAGAAATTTGGTGTAAGTTAGTGGAAGATTTAAGTCAATCGCAATTACCCGCTCAAAATTTAAGAGCGCAACTGAAAACAAATACAATCATTTGAAAATCTCATTACAATCCAGTAACATCGAGTCTACTACTTATAGAGCCATGTGATAACAACAAAAAACCAAGGAAACCAACGAGCTCCTGAATGCCATCTCATTTTTGTAGCCCCGTAAATGTCATTTGAGCCCCCAAAGTTAATTATTACGGTTTCCCTATTGGCCAAATGTAATTTCTTGCAAAACAGTCCCTCAAACCGCTTACATCATTGTTACATGTTAAAAGTTTTTAATTTCATGGTGCAGCGATTACTAGAACACCTCCTTTTCAACCCCCGAAAGATGGGTGATGCCCCGAGCTCGTGCTATGCTGGCATTCGGCATTCTTGTGCCGAACAACCATTTGACGCAAGGCAAGACGGGCGTCTGTCTTGGTATATTGCTGCTGGCTTGTGGCGCTATGCTCGCGCACGCGTCGCTGGTGATTCTGATGAGTTGCGCAAGATGCTTGCACGTGGTCTCAGCATGCTTCAGCTTGGGATTGCTTGATGTAGCGTATACAGGGCAGGGTCGAAATTAAAGATTCTAGGTTCTAGGTTAACATGAATACAAACGTTCGCCAAAAATCAGTTGAGCCCGACACTGGACGGACATCTTCAATGTTTTCAGGCAATAAACCTGCCCTTGAACCATTCCAGTGCAAAGCTGCACGACTTCACAAAAGGTTTGGATATCATTGGACGAAAGGTCCCTGAAATTTGGCATGCTTTCATGCTTTAATCCTGCTGGAGGCCAAAGAACACCCCAAGCCTTGCACATGCACAATTCCTGACACGGCTTGCGATTCTGGAGGTTCTATCCCTGCCATATACGTAATCCCACCAGCTCTTCCAAACTACTCCCCCCCCACAGCCAGTCCAGCCACCAGTCTACCAAGGATACACACAATGCCGATCATTTGCGGAGCTCGTTTTTCTCAGTGACTTGGGATGTGCTCAAAACATATAAAACATACGGAGCGATGCTGTGATACTTTGGAGTGTTCAAGTCAGGGATCAAGGTACAGGGTGCGAAATCACGGGAAAGCCGCAAGCAGGTGAAACTGCAGGCCACAGCCATCCTAAAAAAAGCTGGGGGTGAAATTCAAATTTTAAACCCAACGTGTGCGGGTTTAGGGGTAAGTTACCTGCACCCTGCCTTTAGTTGGGCCGAAATAACCTTTATCAGGGGCCATAGAACCCCAATTGATGAGGAAGCTCTTGGTAGAGAGTTCCGGCATGCCATTTTACACGTGAGGATTGTAGAGTTTATTCAAAAGGTGCATGGCGCATGACCCATTTGCATCACTCGCGCCCCTTCGGCTTGTGGCGACGGGTTAGGCTTTGTTTTTTTTTGGGGATTCTGGAAAGGGTTTTGTAGAATTCAGTCGTTTCAGGAGATGATATTCGGCAGTTGACCCAGTCAACTGCAGCCCAAAGATGGTTATGGAGCATGTTTGTTTTCCGGCAGGAAGCCTTACATTCCAAGAACGTATATGCTACGATAGCAGTGCTACCGCTTTTGTAGATGAGTTTGTGATTGTTTTCGGTATTCGCGCGTATGGTAATCCTGCCTCTTCCGGCCTAGACAACGCATCGTAAACATGCATCTCTACCCATGCATGCCGTGAAGGGCGAGGCAAGGGCCCAATAAACATGTACAATAGGTTTCAATAACCTGGAACCTTATCCTGACAAAGTTGCACAAGCATTGCCAGGTGAGGCGGAGGCAGCCGACGGCGGCGCCAGCCGGAATTCCTTGGTTGACACTGCCCCTCAAGCAAAAGAGGAGCAAGATGAAAGATCAATTCAATGTTACCGTTCTACCCAAAATCCTGCACGTTTGGAAGAAGCAATCGTACTGCAACAGGGATCGTAGGAGGGTACACGGAGTTTCGTGAACACGGGCAGTACTGCTGGAGAGCGCCCATGCATTTTATCAGAATCCTTTCGACAGTTCAGCAAATCAGGCTGGATGTTGCTGCAGGTTGCGTAGTTGCACAACATGTCATTTCAGGTCATCATGTTCTATGGCATGGCAGCAGTTCTCATTTACATGATGCTCATTGGCGACTTCTTCGCAGATATCGCACAGTCTCCCCTATTCGGATATGCAGATGTTCCACGCCAGCACCTCATCTTGGCCTCGCTGGTTTGCGTGTTTCCGCTTTCCATTCCTCGCAATGTCACGGCACTGCGATACATCTCCATCTTGAGTACAAGTGTGATCGTATTCTTGACCGCAGTGGTTGTGGCAAAAATGCCAGCGCATGTGCTGGCAAAACCGACCTTCGCAGCAGAATCTGCAGCGTGGAAAGCGGGTGGGCGACTACAGACTGTCCCTGGGATCTTGGGTGGCAGGCTTGTTAGCTTCATGACAGATCCATCTCTTATGTAGCCTCCTAACCTTTAAGCCTTGAACCTGCTGCCGCAGAATGTTTGCATTTTTAACCGTGTGAAGCTTAAGGTCTTGCAATCCTTTGCCATGGCCCTGTTTTCGTCCCTGGGCTCATCACTGGATACCTTAAGGGTTTAAGGTGCAGAGCTCATGGCAAAGCCAATGTTTTGAACTTTTTGGGATCTTTCCACAAACGCGCGCATGGTGACATGTGCCGCCAAAACCGACAGTTTTGAAGCCTGCCCACCTGCCAGGTTCAATGCGCACACCAACGCGGTTCCAGTGGTGACGGGGGCTTTTCAAGAATTCTTTTCATTTCTGTTCGTTCACGCGCTGAGCAAAACACAAACATGCCAAGACGATATTAAAGAAGTCTCCCAGCCTCGATTAGGCGTAGTTAATCATAGCCAATTCACCCACCCACTGAAAAAAAAAACGGTTGTATTCTCGTTGGTTCTCGAAACTGGCAGGACATGGAAGAAGTAGCAGGCGCCCTTTCTGCACCGGCTTGGCAACATCTGGTCTTTGAAAAAGGATTCAACGTCGACAGCTTGCCATAGGACATCTTATTAAGACGAGTACGAATCGAGACCGCGAATGTCGAGCATGGGTCCATGCGCAAGCCATCTGAACCCTAAATTCTTCACTTTGCAGTCTCACGCAACTGTGACTGTGACTGAAACGTGGCTCCTACAAACCTCCTAAACAACGGCAGGCGCAAAAGTTCCAAGGCTTGAAGGAATAAGAAAGCGCAGGCTACGCCCCAAGCTGCTGAGTACTCAAGTCTTGCCCTAGACTTCAAAACCTGAAGTAGAACCCCTTGCACGCCCGGGCGCCCTAATATGTAAACCCTTGCTGCTGAACCCCACCTAGACAATGTGGCTTACATAGCCTCCTGTAAACGAGTCTGGATCCTGGCTGAGGAGTCTTTTTGTGTTGTTGGGGTTCCGTAGAAAACTACAAAAAGAATCGTTGTCTCTTCATAGGCGGGCAGCGTCAAGCCACTTGTGTGCCCTCAAAACGCCCTGGCATTTCGCGTATTCCTCAGAAAACTCTCCCAACAAAGTGGCCCCATATTTCCTCGAAACCCTTAGAGCATCTCTTTCTATCCTTATATCTTCTTCTAGATCTCTAAATAATCCCGTATATGCTTATATATTTCTAATTATTCCTCTATATCCCCTTTAAGTCCCTTAAAGATCACTAAATATCCCCGCACATATTCCTATATATCCCCTTTCAAGACCTCCAAATATTCTCAGAAAGATTCCGACATATCCCCTTTAAAGACTTCTAAATATTCCTATAGATATTCCTACATATCCCCTGTCAAGACCTCTAAACATTCCTATATATATTCCTACATATCCGCTAAACCCTAAACCCAAAAACTTCCCCTTTAAAGCCTACAGGCCATGGCTTTGGATCAGCCCCGCGCAGCGCGCATTTGGCAGGTTTCGCTTCTTTCAGTCTTGATTGAAGCTGGGCAAATTCATCATAGGGTTTAGAGTTTAGGGATTCATCCCCACCCCTCTTCCGGACTCCCCCTTTTCAGGTGATATATGAACCTTAATCTAAACTCCTTAAACGGGGTTATAGAGGGGAGTATTGCAGGGGTTTACCGTAAGGTTTAGGGCCAGGGCCCTCCTTGTACCTTTAAATAGGGGCATAGGATCCCCAACAGTGGGTATTTAGGGTATGTACAGAGGCGAGATGAAAGGCCTAGGAAGAAATCTTCCCCCAAATCCCCCCAAAAAGGGCCATAGAGTTCGGGGTTTAGGGCTTTGGGCCAAGAAAAAATTGGCCCTCCCACTTCCCTAAGAATAGATATTCCCTTTTCATTTATATGATGGTACTATATACTCAGGGTGCGGTCTATTATAGGGGGGTGGAGGGGTTCATTATTGGGGAGAGTGTAGCGTGACGACATTCACAGACCTTACCTCATGTAAATTGTGTTTTACACAGCAAAAACTCCCAATTTGGTTTCATTGTATGTTCTGAAGTCAAGTTAAAACCGAGCATTGATTTTGAAATGGCCCGTGAGGTACGGCTAGAATTTCACTTGCGAGGGAAGTTTGAGCATTGGGTCTTTCTGGGAAGGGTTACCTGCGTCAGCACTGGTGTAGGGGTTTGGGGGTTTGGGGGCGGGGGAGTGTGGGGCATCGGTTTTCGGTGGCTCGACTTGTGGTTGAGTAGTGTCGAAAGTAGCATGTTGGAAGAACCTCAATATTCCCCTCCCTCCGGTGCAGAAGGCAAAAGAAGCATGCTGGGATGTCGCGGGCAACTTGCGAGACGGAAGACTAAGGAATTCGTAATTTATGCATCGATTGCCACAGCTGGTTATTTATCCTTTGGAGCTTCGACAAAGCAAGATTTTATTCGGAATTACCCGGCCGATGATGGCTGGATGCTGCTGGTCCGCTGCGTGTGCCTGGCCTTCAAATTGGAGTTTCCCTAAAGTAGGGGTACCATTTTGTGGTACATAGAATAAGGGTGTTCATATTTTGGGGTCTAGTTGGGGTCCCCTCTTGTTCATGGAAACTACCAAGTTCTAGGTTGGCCCCGTTCATGTCCATTCAAGCTACCAAGCTGTTGAATGCTCACTCATGAATATGCACCACTCCATCTAGCGGTTGCTGGAGCTGCCATGGAGCCCCAGGATGTCCTACAGGGGTATGTCATTTCCTTTTGGAAGCTACTATAGTATATTGGGGTAATATTGGGACAATGGCAAATAAAATGGAAACTACTGTCGTATATTGGGGTAATATTGGGATAATGGAAAATAAAATGGAAACTACAGGTCCTACAGGTGGTTCGAGCTGCAGAAGTTGGCTGTCCTCCTGTAACCCCATTGCCTGCAGCTTAGTAGTAGTTACCCCAGGTATATCCCCTTTCCCTGTAGGCAACTGGGGTTTCTGAGGATAGCAAGCCCATCATTGCTTCAGTAGGCGGTTTGTGTCTCGCAATGGGCACCCAGAAGGCCTGAAGTAAGCTTTAGGGTTTAAGGTTGAGGGAAATGTCACCATGCTGACAGCAAACGTCCGCTACAGCCACTTTTGGGACACAAAACTTACCTGTAAACCCAACTGCCCACAGCTTAGTAGTAAGTACCCCCCTTCTCAGTGGGCATAGGCCATGAACCTGTGCGTAATAGGGGTAAAAGGTAAGCCCTAGCGTGTCGGGAAGGTACTCAGTGCCGGTGATCTTCGGGGTGCCGATCAATTTGTCTCCTGCAGCCGCCTCCATCCAAGCCTTAGCAGGCCGCCTCTTCTTGCCGAGCCAGCTCCTGGACTCTCCCCTTTTAAGTGGTATATGACCTATAATCCAAAATATCTTAAAGGGCGTTGTGTAGGGGATAGAATAGGGGTGGGGGTTTAGGGCTTCTGGACTTGGGAAGTTCCCAAGATTAGGGATGCCTTTTTGGGGTCCCCGTTATGAGAGTATAGCATTTTGGAGCCTGCATAAGGGCCTCCCTATTTTGGGAAACTGCGACTTTCCCCTTTCTAGGTAACAGGACCTTCTTGTATCCACTACATAGGGGTATATGGTCACTAATTGTGGGTATTTGGGTGGATAGAGGCTAGATGGAGGGTCTAGACAGGGAATAGAGGGGTTCTATTAAAGGGATTAGGGCTAGAAGTCAAGATTGTTCCCCTAATTGGACAGTCAACGGGAAAATAAAATGGACATGGGATGGAACCTGGACTGATACAGAGAGTGTTTTGATTATGGGCTGGGCAGGCTTACTTCCAAAAGCTCGGTTTTCGTTGCTTCCCAGCTTATAGGGCATTACCTGGTTATAACCTGGTGTTTGAGTACCTGCTTGTAACGTGGTATTTCATTACCTACGTATCTGTAGAGTATTTTGGTTATAGGGTCATTATGGGCTCGCTGCCACCACCACCATCTTCCTTTGCTTCATAGTAGTGACTTCTTGAACCGGTTTGCAGCTAGCTGCCGCATCATCAAGCAAAAGCGCGTCTAGATTGCGGTCAGGGTTTGGCTTGTTCTAGGCTTTTTAGGGGGATTTTAGGGACCCCTAAGTGTAGGGTATATAATAGGTATATAAGGATCCCAGGGCGAAGGGCCCCTACTAGGGGCCCACGGTTTCAACCTTTGATTCTTGTGTCTAAGGTTTCGGCGGCAGACCAGCGATCCTCAGCAGGGGTCTTGGAGACCTTGGGCCTTCGTTGAAGATCATTTTGCCGTTAGTTTAGGGGTGAAGATTTAGGGCTTAGGAATTTTGGAGTTGAAGATCATGCTGCCGTTGGGTAGGTTTGGATTATATATGGATTCAGGGTATTTGTTCAAGGGTTCTAGGGTAGACTGTACAAGGTATGAGGAAAACAAGGGAAAAGCCGGGTAGTCATTGAGGGTGGAGATTCAAATCTTTGGAGAGTGGTTTGCATTTCCGGCAATGTGGGGCTCTATCTATCCAGTACCAGGGCTTTCATAGCTTGAGGTTGGGTTGTAGGATGACTTGGAGTTCGAGACCTTGCCTTCCTGCGAGCGATGCAGGATCGATGTGCCGGCGCGCCTGTATCGTAGGAGCAGTATTGCTTCCAGGCAAATTAGCAAACATGTTGGGTTAGTGTTGGGATATCCTGCACCTGCGATAGATCGTCTCAACCAAGCAGCTTCCAAAGCTCAGAACTTTGTGAAAAGCTTTACAACACCTCTTGAACCTAGACCAAACCTTAGGAATACAAATCCAAATCCCGAATTACAATTTTTGGGTGGCAGAGTAAGATTCGTCCGCCCAAGGCTCTGCAGCGCGTCTCTGGCCATTTGCTGTGAGGCGTTCGCGGACGTGATTGGGTTGTTCGGGGCATTCTTTGGCACGGCCACTGCGTCCCATTTTGACCTGAGCCTTTTGCAGTTGTCTTCAGCTCTGCCATACTTCCCTGTCACTCCCCATGTAGAATTCATTAAGTATTAGGATGCTCTACCCCCGATTTGGAGAGACAGTCACATGGAGCCAGCGCGTTAATCAGACAATTGGTCTGCAAGACTTGCAGGAATGAGGCTAGATTCGTTGACGTAGAGTTGACCTTGTGTGACAAGGTTGCGCTATGCATGTTATAAGAACGTCTTTTTGTGTCTCCCTTCTTGGCTAAGTGGTAGGTCATCCCTACCTATCCTGGGAACCGCTTTGCCCCTTCTTTGTCAGAAGCCCCCCAAGTAGAGACGGCTGCGAAGCCCAGGTGATTTGTCTCGTGTGGCCTCTCCGGATCTACCAGCGAAACTTGGGCAACGGGTCGGTAGACTTCCCGCGGTTTTCATATGCTGGTTTCCCTAAATGAGGAGTGCCAAAATAGACCCCCAAATGCCCGAGTCCTTATTCATTATGGGGACACCCTAAAATGTACCCCTAATCTTGGGAACCCTATGAAGTGGTCAAAGGTTCTAAATATGTAACCCTGGGTTGGGGCGCCGTATACCTAATTAAGGGTTAGGTTCCACGGTTTCAGGATCCACACCCAAAGGTACAAACCCTGACTGTACAAAGGACAAGTCCCTCATTGGTAGACTTGCTGGGATTCCAACCTCGTGGTGCCCCTGGCATTAGGGATATGTGATTACAAGGCGTGGCATGGGACTTTTTTTTGGGACAGACTCCTAAACCCTATCCCCTTAACCCTACACCCTTTCGTTAACTTGAGGACTGCACGAGTAGGTGGAGCCCCAAAACCCTACGCAGTAGAAGTGTGGAAAAGCCCGCAACCCTAAACCCAAAGCCCCAAACCCTAAACCCAAAGCCCTTAACCTTAAACCCTAAGCCCTTAACCTAGAACCCAGGAGTCATGAAGAACTTGCATTCTCCTCTACTCTCGACGGCTGTATCTGTGGCGCTGACAACGGCATCCCTGCTCGGACCTTGGGATGTACTAAAGTTTTAGGAATTTAGGGATTAGGGATTGAGGGTTTAAGGACTTAGGGTTTTAGGATTTTAGCGTTTAGGGTTTTAGGGTTTACAGTTTTTAAAGTTTTGGGGTTTTAGAGTCTTGTCCACACCCTATAGTTCCCCGTAAGTAGAGAGAATATGGAACGACCCAAAGTCATAATAAGACCCACCATGAACTCATCTTCTGTCTGCTTGAGGGACTGTGTCCCTACATGCTTACTTGCAGGAGCGAAGCTGCTCATAAGATGAAAGTCCTCCCCAAAGTGATGAAGACGTTAGAGATGTAATTTGGCGCCCCATGAAAGTTCCCGGTCGTCACCTGAGAACTGACATGCTATGGAGCTCCTAAGCCCTCCACCTCAAACTTTGATGACGCTCACGCGTGACAACGGTAAGGCAGCACCAGAGACACGAAGTTAGCTAAGGAATGGTGGCGTTTCTCGATCAATGTGCACATGTGTTGCACTTTGTCTGATGCTGCAGCCACGAAGTGCTGCAGGCCTCACCCATGTGAACTACTGTCCATATTTTGGCCAATCGCAAATACCTCGTGAGAGTTGACTCGCAGTTAAAACCTGTTCAAACCTGTGGTTCTCTGAGGACAGCAACGTATACCACCTTGCAGCCCCCAAAATAGGTAAGCGCTCTTGGGTGTCGGGTGCATGTGGTCATAGGGTGCTGAAGACTTGCTCTTACAAAAGGCATATGCAATACACAAAGCTCACGTGAGTAGTGATTTGAGCGGGGATGAATCCCCAACCCAGGAGTGAGGTTCTGTGTTCCGCTGGACTCCTATAGATCCACAGCGGGGAGCAAGTATTTGCCTTGCAAAATCGTTGCCTTAAATCCCTAGGTTCCCGCAGTTTCCATGGCATTTTCCATTTTCTATTCTATTTGATTCTCCATTAGAAGGGGATAATATAGCTTATTTCGCTAAGCCCTAAAAACTAAGTAGTAGTTTCCATTTTGTTTTCCATTATCCCTGAAGTAACTTAAACTGACCAAACATCTATGGGAGTCCGGTCTGCTGTTCGCGTCGGAGAAGCTGAAGCGATGCTGCAGCTGTTTTTTCAATACCCCTTGCTGAGCTGGGTAGGCCCCTGGGATATTTAGTATTTTCCCTACTGGCTTTAATAGGGGACCCTATATATCAATATTTTTCAAAGGTTTTTAGGGGCCAACCCAGTGAGCGCAGTGCAGCATTCTTAAGGTCCCTTTGTGCGCAAAGTAGCACACAGGGCCAAGGGAGACTGGGCCATTTAGAAGCTCAGATGTCCCAAGTTCGTGCACATTTGCAGCACGTTTTGAGGCTTAAATTCCAGGATGTTCCGTGGGATACCCAAGTCCCGCTGAGGCTAATGGGTGTTTCCAAAAATTGTTGGAGGATTACAGCATTTGCTGCTTACTATTGGTAGCAATAGCAAGTGTAATGGTACTGCAGTATCAAGGGAGGATATACCCCCAAACCCTATGTATCACAGCCCCCTTGAATCCGCTCGCCTCCCCTAATATCGCAACTCCCACCGCCCCCTTGCCATATGAAATATTCATATTGCGGTAGAACATAAAGATTCACTCTATTAGGGGTGGGCTTTGATATTGGGAGGGGATTAACCCCTAAACCCTAAACACCCCCCATAAAAGGGTTCCATGGGGACACCCTTCCAGTCGGAAACACCCAGCTCAATTTGTTGGCCCTAGCCATGAAACTATTCAAAAGGTCAGGCTTAGGGATCAGCGTTGAAGGTTTAGAGATATTACCACCAATAATGAAGAATCAAATGGAAAATAAAATGGCAACTAGGGGTAGATAGGGGTGATACAGGATTTCAATCTCCTCCCTGATGATAAACGCCCCGCACCCTGCCTAATAGCGAATGTTCCCCCTATACATAATGGCATTACAGTGAGGAGTTTTATGACTAGGTGGGTTTGGCGGGTTGTTATCAGGGGCTACAAAAGGGCGATGGGCTAGTAGATTAGATCTGTGCTTATGATGCGCAACGGAGATTCTATGCTAGGGATGTTGGAGTTCTGAAGCCCCAAAGTTCGTTCCAGATCTTGTTTGGTATATGAGCTATAGTCTAAGCTTCTTAAAGGGGATTATATAAGGGATTGTATAGGGGAGTATTACGGGGGTTACCAGACTATAGCTCATATGGCGAATTTTCTTAGGACCATTGAGTTTTGCAGACCGATTACTGGTTGCAGGGTCAGCAGGTCACAATGCGGGAGAGGGAGGCCGCGGGGGGCGAGCAAAGCTTCTTGAAGCTGCCAGGGGCCAGTCCGACATCTAAGCTATAGTCTAAACTCCGCAACAGGGGTTATATAGGGGGTTATATAGGGGAGTATCATGGGGGTTAGTAAGGAGGATGGTAGGGGGGTGTTGGGAATTTAGATTACAGCTAATCTCATGGTGGCTTGATACTGCAGTGCACATATCCATGGAAACGGTAAGGGAGGCTATAATGTAGCCGTGGGCGAACTTGCTGATTGATCATGACTGTAAAGAGCATCGCTAGATGGGAGTCTCTGAAAATTAGGGGGCACTTTCTGGCTATGGCGCCCCGCATACTTCCTTGGTACCCCACATTTGTCCACAGGGTACCCCACTTCCCCCATTTCGGCCAAGCCCCATTTGAAGAAGCAATCTGTGTGTTGATTCTCGAACTCTCCTTCCCAAACCCCCAAACCAAACCAAATACCTGTGGGCAGTTCGATTGACGAAGCCTTCTTTGGACTCCTTTTGGCAGACGTGTAAACAATATGGCAATTTTCCTAAATAAGGGGACCCCAATACAGACCTAGTAAAGGGTACACCTAATTTTATGAAACCCTCATATATTCCTATTACATGCTCTAGGCCCGCACTTTGCCCTTTCCGGCTTCACGCTGAAATCTGGGTTCCTGCTACGGAACTTAAATTAAGTTACCATAGCCTGGGCACATAGTAAATAATTGGGTTTCCTCATTATAGTAACTTAATTTACTTTAAGTTCCAGAAAAGCAGCCCAGTCATACTGAAGTTCTCTGGAGCGTTGCCGTGTGGGCCGCGCAAGCGAAGGTATGGCGAAAAGAGGCCGGCATGGGTTTAGCTTTACAACTCCAGCAGCTTGAGGTATAGGGCCGTCTCAAGGGCCAGGGACTGTCAGTTTGTTGTATGGGTTCCTCTACTACCCCCCCCCCTTTATATACTGCCGCCCTAGGTTCCCTTAATTGAGGTTATTTCACGATCCTGAGGGCTGTCTCAGGTTAGTTTGGGGTAACCTAGGGGGCGTAGTAGGAACCCATGAGTGTTTGCCGAACGTGTTTGGCGTTTGATATCGGAGCAGGTTTGTCGCGATGTAAGATGGGTCTGTTTGAGAATTGGTGCCAAGAATTGACATGTTACATTCGTGTGGCCAGTTGTCAAAAATAGGTTACCCTTATGTGCTGCTACATGTTGTTAGATAGTGTTGGGCAAAAAAAATCATGTGCTGATGAGACATCCCCGTTGGGCGAGGCGTACCAACCTGTAGTTACCTCGATTTACTACCTCGTTGTTCATTTTGAGTTCGTGAACAAATCAGATTATACCAAATAGAGCCCGCTGGCTCATGTGCAATGTAGAAAGTTTCAGCATTTTCCCTGAGCTGCAATGAACCTTGAGATGAGGATGGCTCCCAACAAGAAGAGAACGAGTCCGATGTTCAGGTTCTGCTTGCGCTGCGAGTAATCCCCTCCCCAACTGTTGTTTAGACATACTCCTGTTTAGACAGACTCCCAGTTGATTGCACCCTGCCGGCTCAAATCTGACCTTGGCGATGATCAAGGACGCGGTGCTTCATCAGTTGACGTCAAATGTAGCAAGCTCACTTGTTGCCATCGTTCCGATGGGCACCAAGAATAGATATCTAGAGGCAATGCACGCGCATAGACGAAACATGGCCGAAGCAATTCTTTGCAAAGATGTAGGCGATAATCTTGGCAAGTGCTACTTCATCGAGACCTTATCCCGGCCGCGTACGCAACAACAAGCATTCCACACATAGGAACGGAAGCGAAACAGCACATATCTTCATCCTTGCGTATACTCAGTGGGCATTACAATTGTTTCAGACAAGCGGTCTCTGGGGTGACCCAACCCCATTGTGCATTTCACCAGCTTTGGCCACGACTTTGGGTGGTTGCGGGCAGCCATGTCCAGCACAATGAAGGCGGGAACATGCCTCGCTGCGATGTACACGGTAACAAGCACAATTCTTGTTCTTTGGTTTGGACTATCCCATCGTAATTTCTTTGCGGACCTCACAGAAGTATGTGCTGGTGTTTGCGATCGGTTGCTGTGTCATTTTGGATGTGCCTCAGATGGGTCTAGACGGGGTCCTTCTTACACCCAACACGGAATTCTCTAATCGGGCTCCCGGAGAACGTGACATTTTGTGGCATTTCATGCTTCCGCCGATACTTCTGCCGGCTAGCCACAGAGTAGGTGGTGTCTACAATTCAGTGACCTTATATTGGCTCGCAAGTCTGGACGGCGTTCAAACATTGGCTAAACCTTGAGCCTTACGTTTTACTTCTAGGTCCTGCATTATTATCATTATAATTGTAAGCTACTTGTCACTTTTACCTGTGACCCACTCACAAGGCTCTCCCTAGCAAGACCCGCCAACATGCCTGAGTCATAAATAGGCTCGAAGTTATAATGAACCTCCAAGTCAACTCTAATCGCGAAGTAGGACGCCAAACCTTAATCCTCAACCCAGGTAAACCATGGAAGCCTTAACTACTAAAATCACACCCTAATACTTGTATTAGTTTCACCCTGAGCCCTGAAGAAGAGATCCTACACCTACTTCACCAAGCCCGAATCTCCTATTGCAGCTGAGCGGGTAAAAGAGGCGCTGCCCCAAAAATCACAAAGGGGGTTTCCTTCCGCTAGGGGTACCTTTTTGGGTGTCCCCATAATTAATGAGAACTATAGTATTTTGGGGTCTATACTAGGGTCCCAGTGTTTTGGGATACTACTGAATTTTCGAGGCACCCAAGACGTCGAAAGCTTCGCAGGGTGGCGGCGCTGGAAATGCGTCGCCGACAAACGGCTCTGGCCAAAAGGCCGGCTATACGCGAAAGGGAAGTAGGGACAGGCTTTAGGGTTCGGGGTTAGGGGGTTTAGGATGAGTGGTTTAGGGGTTCAGTGCGTAGGGCTTAGGGTGCGTGGGTTTAAGGGTTTGGGGCTTAGGCTTGGGGATTATTATCAAGCACAGTAAAGAGTAGGATCGCATCCTTCTTGTTGGCACGGTGAGTTTTTGAGAAGGATAAAGCCTGGCTTTGCGAGCTAGAGGTTTAGACGTTGAACGATTCATGGAGGATCAAATGGAAAAGAAATGGACACCGTAAGTATTTGAGAGTACAGATAAGACGGAGGCGGGGCATAGGGGTTTGTTGGTTGGTGGTTTGGGGTTCTGTTTAGGACTTCAGGGGCTTAGCAATCACAATCTAGGATGAGATCTCAAAACATGACATGGGGAGTACAAAGGGAATGTCGGGGGGTCTTAGGATCTCCCATGTGAGGCAGGTAGGCGGATTCGGGCGTAGGGATTGGAGGGATTCAGGGATTTGTGTTACATAGATCTCCCAAATACTTTTGGTAAAAGCGATGACGTAAGTTCTACAAGAAAGGTATATGGATGCTCTTCAGGTAGCAACCAGGGGTAGTGTATTCTGGGTCAGGGTTGATGGGGTTTGGGGCTTAGGGTTTAGGGTAGGGTCAAGGTTGGGTTTCAGGATGTTTTTCTTTTTGATTTTTTTTGAGGGGGTGGGTGGGGCGGTGAGAGAAGGGCCCCCAGCTTAGTAGGGAGTGGGGACTGCGGTTTAAGCGATTGAGTTGTTGGGCTTCAGAGTGGACTAGACTCCCCGTCCCGTGGGGGAGCTAGGGCTAGGGTTCAGGGATCAGATAAGGGTTTAGGGCGAAAGCCCCAACCGGCAGTTCAAGTCCGGGTTGAAAAGGCTTGGGACTTAGGGCTTGGGGCTTAGGATTAGGGGTTGCAAATGGAGGTTTTGGAACAGGCAGCGTAGAGCCTGTACTGTACATGATAAGAAAGCCACCCCTGAGAATATGGATTCCCCACATATTCTGGCACAGTTTGTTGCAATGTTCATAATGTAAGGGGCTAGCTTAGGAGGGCGCGATTGCCCTGATTTATAACGTAATTCTGATCACTGGGAAGGTAGGATAGGTAGATCTGCAAATGGGAGAAGCCCACGTATCCCCTCCATACGATGAACCCAACCAAAATGCTTCACCCTGAGCACATTTGTCGTCTGGACGAGCCGAGGTGGTCGGTCCCAACATCAAAGGCAATCGCGAGGACTTGGACTGAGCTTCTGCTACCGCCGCTGCTAGAGTGCTACTGCTTGCTTTCGCATGTCCATCTGAATATTGCTGTTGTTTCATATATATATATATATGTCTAATTATTCGTCTTACTCCTGCTATTATATTAGTACCACTAGGATGACTACTGCTGCTGCCGCCGCCGCCGCTGCTGCTATCACGCCTGTGACGCTACACATCTTCCTACCAACGCTGCTTCTCCTGCTGCTCCTACTCCTACTGTCACTGCTAATACTGCTGCAGGAGTATCAGCTCGTGATGCACCTGCAGTCAGCCCTTTTTGGCGGAGTCTACGAGGTGGCTTGGATACAACTCTCTGAAACGACCTTGTGCCAGTTGAACAACTGGATTTCCCAAGAGGTAGGGGTCGTATTTTGGAGGCCTTTCGGGTTTGATTTGTGGAAGCTGATGTCATGTCATGAACGTCGTTTCATGAAATGGCTGGCCTTGACCCTTACGAGTCTTGTCTCCAAGTAACGCACTAAGGTCACGAGTGTGCCGTTTGTGGAATTGGTAGGAATAGGTAGGTACCAGAACGAAATGCCAACACATGGCGAAACTCCAACATCTAAGCACGAAGGGCCATTCGCCTTAGTCCCCAAATCCACCCTGTGTAGGTGAAATCCCCTAATCCCAATTCCTGAGCCCATATACGAGATTGAAGCAAAACATGTCCCAAAACCCTACTCTGCTTGATTTCACCGTCTGAGAGAGAAACTTCTTGGTTTTGAGTTTTGAGTGCCTGCGTCGCTCTTGTCTCTCCAGCCTCCAAGCAAGATGAAGCGAGATTCCGATTTGCCATGTAGTTCGTGAAGCCTCGAACCCTCACACGGCCTCCAACAATTAAAGCCATCTGAACCTAAACCTTCAAGCCTTAAACCCTCAGACCCCAAACCCTAGACCCCAAACAATCCTAAACCCTGAATCCCCCAGATGCTAGACCCCTGATCCTCAAACCCTAAACTCTGAACCTCCCAAATTCTGATTCCCTAACCCTGAAACCCCGAACCCGCAACCTTCATACCCTAAACCCCTGAACAGTAGACCATCAAACACCTAATCCGCATAACGACCTTGCTTGAGGCAAAGGGCCGCACCAGCGGACGAGACTACGCGATCAAGGCAACATGGTTCCAAGGTTTTAGGGTCATGCGTTGTGGGATGTTTACGTAAAGTTTGGGCCAGGCTGGGTTTCGGGTTTTTTAGAGAGGCATGGGGTTTCATGCTTTTGGGCATGGGACTTGGGACTCGGGGTTGGGTGAAGGATTGTAGACATCTGTCTGGGGGGGTCACGGGCCCTGCTAGCTCGACTGTCTTGGTGGTCGGCTCTGTAGGTTAGGTCAATGCCCCCTACAGTGATAGCCCTTAAATATGGAGCTAACAGGGCCTTATATACTTACAACTGGATGGGGAATTGATCGCATCTGCAGTGTTTTTCCATAAAAAGAGCCCCTACGGCCTACACCCATAAAACCTAAAAGAGACCACTAGTCTGGTAAGGGGTTGCCGGAATGTATGTCCGAAACCTCTGCACAAGTCGACACTGATTAGGACATGAGCTATAGTCTAAACCCTACAAAAGGGGGTTATATACGGGATTATGTAGGGAAGCATTATATGGGTTAGAACATTGTTCATTTCCCGTTGATGCCGTGGAAAACGCTGCCTGGCGCATATCACGGCATTTGGCAGATCAGAGATTATCAGATGGCCCCAAACCCTAAACCCTAAAACCCTATAGCCTAAACCCTAATCCCCAGTTGTACACTTCAATCCCGAACCCCGTGCCGCGAACCCAAAGAGACCCTCAAGGCCTTCCCCCGGAAGACAAAGACATAAGCCAAGAAGCCCAAATCCTACAATCGACAGGTGCTGCACAAGAGCGAGCTCCAGAAGGCTACAGTAGCAAGTAGGGTCCATGGTTGGCGCTTCAGGGTTGAAGGTTTGGGGCCTTTTTGTGGTTTAGGATTTTTGAACCTTTGGGCTTGGAGGTAAAGGTCTGAGACTTTGGCTTAGGGTTTAGGGTTTAGGGTTTAGGGTTTAGGGGTTGGGTCCTTCCCCCTTACGGTACAAGTACTTAAAGGGTTCTTGTCAAGGGGCTATTATAATGCCTATTGCCCATGGCGTTGACTGTTACTGTAAGGGGGAGTTACCGAAATCCTTAAACTAAACCTTCAACCCTACACCCTAATCCCGAAACCCTAAACCACCCTAAACCCTAAACTATCCAAAGCCCTAAACCTCACGCCCAAACCCTATAGGGGCTAGGGCTTGGGGCCAAGGCCTTGGCTTCCAGAGGGTTTAGGGTTTAGGGGCGGGTATTTGCCCAGACTAAGATCCCTATTTGACAGTGAGACCATACAGCATATGTACCATAGTCTAAACTCCTTCAAAGGGGTTATGTCGGGGGTTACATAGCGGACTATTATAGGGATTGTTAAAGGGGATAGTCCCAGACTATAGCTCATTTGAAAGTGAGACCATACAAAATCTGGTGCCAGCAACGAAGAACCACCCAGTATCTTGCTCATCCCTTGATGGCAGGGCCCAAGTCACATGTTTTGCATCTTTCTGCCAGGGATGGACTCCTCCAACACACAGGCCCTTAGTTTGGCAAGTCTTCAGTTGGAGGCCCTCAAGCCTAAACTCCCTACCTCAGACCCCAAAAGTTCGGCCAATCTCTAGGTGGAGGAGAATGACTCCATCGAGTTCTGCGAAGTCCCTTTGAGCGAGCTCAAATTTGCGGACGTGGCGCAGCCGCATCATCAATAGCACAGTGAATGCACCCTTCTATCTGTAGTTTTGTTGACTCTATCACTTGGTTTGCTTCATGCTTGGTACCCGCTTTGTATAGAAACTGATGTTTTTGGATCGCCTATTTGATGTTTGCCTGTCGCAGCTACGGCGACCCTTTCTTTGTCCTGTTCCTGGTGCTTCCGCCACACTGCCCCTTCTTGAGCGAGGAAGAAGTTATGCATAAGCTTGTTCACTGGACTGGTCTGGGGTGTGGCAGGAAAAGTTGATGGCTCCTGCTTATTGGGTTCAGGCCATGCTTAGTGGGATTGGAAGACGGGGAGGGCCAAGATTAAGGAGGTAGGCCCCCCAAAATGGAGCTGAACTTATCAGAGTGTCAGGTCTGTGTTGCGGGGCCATCTCGCAAGTACATGTGCATTTCGCATGGTAGTGATTCAACCTAAACTCCAAACCCTGAACCCCTAAACCCAAAACCCAGTGTTTGTGGACAAAATGTGTTGTGACCTTGCCGAAGACTCCGCTTCAGGTTATGCGGGGGCACGAGCTTCCTGGCTGAAGTTATAGTCCCCCTTAAGTAGATAGAACATGGGGTACACCCAAAGCCATATTCCATCTACTTACGGGGGACTGTACGTCATGAGGTACCATGGGAGTTTCTCCAAATACGCTTAGCATCCAATCCTTGACAAAGACCCTCACTTCACTTTTCGAAAGCCCCGGATGATCACCAGATGATGTACTAGTTTCCATTTTCTTTTCCATTATCCAAATAGAATCCCTATATAACCCTATATGATATTGGTAATTATGTAGGCCCCTGTATTAAGCCCGTGGAACTTTTGGGAGCGCCTCTATCAGCTGAGTTGTCTTGTTTCACGTTGTGGTGGTATCGGGGTTATTCAGGCATAGTATGATATGGTATGTTTTTAGCATCGTCCTTGGTGGGTGCTTGTAGGTCCTGAGGAATATTGGTGAGTGGTTGTCGTTTGTGTTAGGTGTCCAGACGGGGTGCATAAAAAGCCATGGGTCGACTAGGGATGACAGCGGTTTAGGGTTGAGGGTTTAGGGGGCGGACAATTGTGAACGAGTGGACATGAGGAGTCACCCCTTCTAGAAACCAGTTACAGGTGGGTAGCTCATAGACGGATAGTCTCCATAGCACTCCCATATGTACTCCCATGAGCCCTGTACCTTATGGGAGTGGTATACGAGGCCTTGGGGGGGCTACCTCTACAGCACTTCCACAGGATATTGGCCTTTCTTAAGTAAGAGAATGAGGGACTCGAAAATGTAGGTTATCCTGATCCGCAAGTTCTTTCGTAGGTTGCAGAAACCACCACATGCCCAGAACCCCAATCTCTACATCATAGACCCTGTAGATTTCCAAGCATGCTGAGGCACGTAATGGAAGTCGAAGAACATTTCGAGGACCAGCACCTCGCCAACGGGGGCATGCAAACTAGACAGGGAACATCCCCGAGCTATAACTAGGTAATATCCTATTCCATAGCATTCATACTTGTAAGAGGCTATGGATAGTCTCCTAGAAGTGCAAATTCTCACGGATAATACAAGTTTCTCGTAATATACCTACCTAGAATTGGACACCCAATTTTCAGTCACTGTCAAAAAGCCTCCCTTAATAATGAGCCTCCATACCCCATAATAGTTAATACGGCGCCCCTTCCCCCCAACATACGGGATGCGGGGTTGATTGCTAGGGGAGGCGATGAAGAGTGACCGTATTTGCTGATGGTTTTGTTTTCCGTTTGTGAAGACTTCAAGGTGTTATTTTGCTTTGGGTACAGTGAGCTTAGGGTATATGAGTTTGCGGGTATTGACGTAGTCCGTTGTCTTGAGTTCGCGGATTCAGGTGTGAGACTTTTGCAGCACAGTCTGATGAGGCGAGGAACAGACATAGGCTGTAGAGAAGTTTGTTCTCACATCCCATTATACTATGGTAGCTTCCATTTTCTTTTCCATTATCCATATAAACCCCAAATATACCATAGTAGTTTCCATTTGATTTTCCATTATCCCAATATTACCCCAATATACAATTCTAGGGTCTATCAAGACCCTAAACCCTAAACCCTTAACCTAAACCCTAAACCCTTAACCCTAACCCTAAACCCTGTACACAAACCAAAGTTGGCTTGGCAGCTCGTACTCCTAGACCTCCTGAAGAATCTCAGTTAAACGGATTGGAGGCATGGTCAAAAACAACTGCCAAAGACACTGGAAGTCCCAAAATCATCCTAGGGATCCAAATAGCCCAATGTAGGTAATATTTGCAGACTTCAGGGCCCAATGTAGTTTTTTTTTGGGATCCCTAGATAGCCTCCTTATATCCCCTGTATCCATTTCATCTTCCATTTGCTTTTCCATTTGATTCTCCATTATTGGTATCAATACTGTTGATACTAAAAATCCTGCATGACCTTAGTATACGATATCACCATTATTCCCAAGGTTTAAGGTATTTAGGGTCATGCAGGATTTTTAGTATCCACCATAGGGCAAAGAGCTGGATCCGAGGTACTGCCACTATTGCGTTTTCGAACTATGTCGAGGCATCGGCTTCGACGTTTCCTGGGGTGGGGGGGGTTATATAGGGAGGGTTTAGGGTTTTGGGTTTTGGTTTAGGACATAGGGTTTAGTTTAGGGCTTAGGGTTTGGGATTACACGGGAACAGTAGGGTTATGCAGTGATTAACTGGGGCAATATAGGAGGTATATAGGGATATATAGTAAACGAAAATGGAAGATACTGGATCGTTAGGGTTTTGAGTTTAGGGGTCGGGATATTCAGGGGGTTCCAGGAATCAGCGGTACGATTTTGAAGGTCCCAACAAGTAGTAAGGATTTTCTAGTTTTGGGGCTCTCCCCTTATTCATGCACACCGTTCGTTCTAAGGCTTTAGGGATGTGATGGTTTAGGGGTTATAGGAGTTTAGGTGTTTGAGGAGGCTTATAGAGCAGAGCCAGCAATTGCAAAGGCTTCAGGGTTGAGCCTAGGCTCTGAACTCTTCATCATCTCTCCATTTCGGGGTTTCCAAAACCAAAGTGGCCATTTCAAGGCTGTCTCTACAACTCAACAACAAGTAATTTAGTATACTGTGGTCCATGTTGGGGGTCCTGCGCGCGGAAACCTCCATGTGGAAGTTCAGAATGGTCATAGCTGGGGAGTGACAGTCTGATCTTGTGTCTCATCGCATTCGTCTCACTAGAATGCATTGTGATTGCCACACTTATTTTCAGCATATGTTGCAAGGACTGGTGCTTGAAGAGCCAGCTATTCTCTTGCAGCATGTCTTGCTATTGTCCATTCGCATGGTCGCCTCCTTCTCCTACCTTGCGAAGGGTGGCCCCCTCAAAAGTGACATTCTGCTACGTTTGAGGGGGCCACCCCGCCAGCACGTTCCAAAGAGGGGTTGAAGATGGCAGGAGGGAGGCGCATTTTTTCAATCTTGAGAAGCTTAGAAAACAGGAGTTTCAAAATAGGGTTTGGCCATGTGTTGAAGATAGTGAAGCGCGTTCAGCCCCTTCAACGCTTCGACAGTCTGGAAACTTCGAGCGCCCAAGACCGACTTTTTCTTCTTCTAGAGTAGAGAGCGTCCGTAAATGGGGCACCCCTGATATGGGCCGTGTATACCCCAAGAAAATGGTTTTATGGTTTTACATGCCCACATTAAAGGGCCTCCCCAAATTTCAGAAACCCCACTCTTTCATGCTGTCAGGAGGGGATCTGCTCGAAGCTTTGAAGCAGCGCCTGGCTGGCATGCAGCGAGTGCCTGAACATAGGTAGGGAAAAGCACCATCTATCACCAACTGATATCCTATAGTTCCCTGTACTTAGTATTTTAGATGACCACTTGTATACTATTTTAGATGACGCTTGTAATTGGTAGACTGGTAATTTGCCTACCTAGGCACACATGCAGGAGGAACGATGGGGTCATACACCTCTCAAGCCCAAACTGTTGCTGCTGATGAACTCAGGTTCCTCATAGTTTATGATGCTTATGCCATCATGATCTACAGGGCGCCCGTGCAAACGCATGAACGTATTGCAGGAGCTTCAAATCAGCCACAGGGAATCGTATTGGCAACATGCAATAATTCTCGACCGCAGTATACTCCAAAGAAGGTTTCATGGGCATGCATGAAAATCTGAGAAGCAACACCAATATGAAAGAAGCACTGACAAGCAGCCTTCGCTAAAAGCTAGGCAGGAAAACAGTCAAGTAAAAAATCAGGTGTTCAGCTACATTGCCCCCATAGTTGCTATCATAGATATCAGCAGTGTTTCGTAATATGAAGTACCTTAGGCTGGAGTTACTATATTAGCAGCAGTGTTTCGTAGCATGCCCTAGGCTAGAAGATGTAGTCCTGCTGAATACTTCAAGGAAGCCAATGGGCTTCGACGAGCGGCACGCGCAGTTCCTAATTCGCCAGGCCAGGCAGGATAAGTGGCAACGGAGCCCCCATAGTTACTATTGCAGTACGCTTCGTTCACATCCCTTGCGGATGTGCATTGTAAGTTTAGTAAGTAGGAACCTGAAGCCTTACGAACCAGTGTTACAGCCAGTGATATTACGTACTGCCTTTCAGTTATCATGTATCACCCACTTACGAAACATAGCCTCATGTCAGCTTCCGAAAGTCATGCTCCAGCTGTTTGGGCCCCTGGGTGCGAGTGATCAGCTGCAGCTCCAGGGCCTGGCAACAACAGCGGCATTTGAGTTGTGTATAGGGATATATAGGGGGGGTATAGTAGGATAATGGAAAAGAAAGTGGAAACAACTATAATATATAGGGGTTCTAATTATTGAGATCCTGCCATTTAGGGTTCAGGATTCCTTGGTTCATCGTGCGCATCAGGATTAAGCAGGAGTTGTACTTTTGCTGCTGGCTTTGCTGTTGAGCTTCTGCTAGCCTCTTCCTTTCACTCCATGCCTCCACCTCCGTTTGGGGTCTGTTAGCTTTTATAAAGGGATTTTGGTAACCCCAACCCCCAAAATTAGGACCCTATGACTATCATATGCTGGTTATAGGGTCCTAATTTTGGGGGTTGGGGTTACCAAAATCCCTTTATTAAGTTTTTGGTCAAGGAGGCCAGTGAGCTTTTGAGACCTGAGTATTGGGTTGGGCCCCCACCTCTTGTGGTCACTGTTAGTGGGTGGGGGCCCCACCTAACCTGGGTGTGAAATAGTTTCACCTAGCTCCATCCCAAGGTTCCTGCGTTCCTCCCAGGACTATCTGTAAAGCGCGCTTAAGAAGCCAGCTCAGGGGATTAGGGCTGTTTCCAACAACTAGGGGTCCCCCCCCCTTTTGGGCACTTTTGGGTCTCCATCATAAGGATTAAGCTCGTTTGGTGTGTGTGTATGTAAGGACCTGTTTTGGAAACCCTTAAAAAAAGCCCATAAAAGCCTTAAGCCAGACAAGACACCAAATCCTTATCCTTCGCTACCCTCACCCGTGCGGATGGCAGCCTTTGGCAGGCAGTATTGGGCCTCTCTCATTTGCACGAGCGAGGTTTGGACGGTGCTGGCAAGTGCGGGTTGATATATGGTAGTTTCTCAAAATACGGGGACCCCAATACAGACCCCAAAAAACTACAATCCTTATTATGGGGACCCCCAATAAGGTACCCCTAATTTTGGGAAACCCCCATATATCAAGGGACTTACCAGCAGATTACCTCCTCTCGGAGGGGCTCCATGGAAATGAGGGTTAACGTATCCAATGGTTCGACAGGTTTGTCTTCCATGTTTGGGGTCCCCCTCGAATGAACCTTTGGATCTAGCTGCTAGCTGGGTAATCAAAACTGGGATGGTGCAAGGGTTATTCCCTGGGACTTGCGTAGCTGAAGCCCTTAACCCTAAACCCTTCAGGGCGCATTTCAGATTGGAATCCTTGAGGTTTGCCAAGCTTGAGACAAAGCGCTGGCAAGGCTTCTAATCGGGTGCCTTAGTCGTCCTGAATTCTGTCTGAATCCGTGGGTCTTATGTTGGCACCCAGGTTTTCAGAGCCGGACCCCTCAACCTCAAACCCCAATGCATTCCATTGATGGCGAACATCTTGAGCCACTCAGGACCCGAAAGCATCTGCGATCCTTCGCCTGTAGGTATAAGGTTATATAAGCTAGTGCAAGATCTCTCCCAAGCATAGCTTTGCGAGGAGTACGCGTCAGAGTAACAGGCAAGCCCGGATTGAGTCCCTTCTCTCGTGCCGTATAGCCCTACGTAGCAAAATCAAGTTATAACAAGGTAGTGTCCTACAGCCCGATATATATATATATATGTGTCTGTGCGTATGTATGTCTGTATAACACTCGTGTTTCACGTAATAATTGACTGGGTTAGTACAATCCCATGGAAACCAAAAGGTCAACCCCTGGAGACACATAGATATGGGACCCTAAACCCTAAACCAGCATTTCAGCCTGCCAGGAGTAGCGATGCAGGATGTCTCTTTGGAGAACATGCTCCTGAACATCAACCCTGGCCGGGACCTCAGTCAGATCATGGTAGATTAAGGTATATATTATGGTATAGTATAGTATATTATAGTAGGTTCTAGTATATTCTAGTATATTCTGGTATATTATATAGGGATAATGCCGATTGAAGTTAATAGGCTTACAGCTGCAGGGTTTAGGGTGCATGGGTTAGGGCTTTCATCAAGAAAGGTTGTTTGAGAGGGGCTTTGGGTCAAGGCGGAGGTACATGCTGGAAGTGTCAGGGTCTAGATCCACAAGCAGGGTTAGATAGTTGGGTTGGGGTTTGGATTTGGAAGTGCCTTGGAGGTGCCTGACTTAGAGACTTGTGCGGAGAGGAGGCAGGGCGCCTGCAAATATGCAAGATGGGGAGGGGGGCTGGAGGCATAGCTTTTGCACGTGCTGCCGTTGGAGCTTACAAACCTGTCGAAAAGGGTAGCTGCAGGGCATCCATCCACAGACTCTTCAGTGACCCAATATGTAGCAAGCTATCATCCTACGGTCCTCTACGAGTACGTACGTTTGTAATCCCCTCCCCCTAATAATAAACCCCCCCACCCCCCTAATAATAAATACCCCCCAAATATGGTATACTATAATATATTGGGAATATTTATTATTAGGGGGGTGGGGGGGTTTATTATTAGGGGGAGGGGATTAGACAGCACCACTGCTTACCTGTAGGGACTGACCGAAGGCTGTGGTTGGCAGAGCATAGTTCAGAAGTAGCAGGGAACCTCAAACCCTTCTAGACCCCAAACCCCAGGAGGGCCATCTTCTGCCAGGCATGGGCAACAACTCAAGAAGCACAGACCAACAAGACAACGGAAAAATCCCCCATTCCCAACCAGGTCCTCACTTGCACCGTAAACCAAGTACCCCTAAACCCTTAGCCCTGAAACCTAGACCTTCAACAAGATTGTATTTCCCCTTTGGCCTTCCATTCCCTACAAACTCCCCCCCAGAATTATATTTCGGGCACTGCTAAAGGACCACATTTTTGCCAAACAGCCGCATGGATCCTAAACCCTGCGTTTGGTGCTGGCTGAGGTTCCGGCCATTGGCAGGCACCAAACTAACTGGGCATCGCAATGGTCTCGTCTTTCGGGCTTGGCTTTAGGAACGGAAGGTGTAGGGTAGGATGGATGAGGGATGACGAGGGCTTGGGTTCGGGGGTTACGGGATTAGGTTTGGCGTTTCGCGTTTGGGGGTTTGTATTCAAGCCCGAGGTGTAGGGTTGCGATGCGGCTTCTGGTTCAGCCTTCTCGTTTCAATTTTGCGCTTGCGGTGCCAAATGGTGACCGCGTAACCACGTACAATGGTGCTCTGTGAATCTCCTCTTCACTGGTCAGCCCCCTCTCTCTCGCAATTTTTCAATGGCAGGAAGGGATTGCGCCTTGTGCTTTCGAAATTGATTAGGAAGTTTCCTTTAGCATGAGACACGCTATCAACCAGGCCATGTAAGAACGTAAATGCTGGGAACCCAAAAAACCTTAATCAACAAATAAGCTCGACAATGAGCTCCCTGTTTGGCAGGTTAAAATCTGCGACCCTGGCCAGGCTCGTCTGCTAAGTTCTTAAGCGTTTGGGGCTTAAGGATGAGGACGTCAACCTTGCTGTGAAAACAACGAACTTCCCCTCCCTAGGGATATTATATGAAAGAATTGGGAGGCTAACATGGTAGGAAGTATGCGAGTGTATGCTTTATGGGTTGCGGCTTATTGTTCTTGGGTTCAAGGAGGAGAGGGCTTTGCTTACTGGCTCTTGGTAGGCAATAAGGGAATATCACCCCTGTACAAACACTCTGTAATACATTCCCTTTATTCCCCCTAAATCCCAAAGCCCGAACCCCCTAAACCCTAAACCCTTCTAAGCAGCAGTAATTTTAAGGAGAGGAGTCCTTCAGAATAACCTGAGGAGGAGTTGGGAGCTTAGGGCTCCATAGCCAGGGTTCGTCCTTTTGATAACATCCTCTTGTGAGCCATAGTCTCAACTCCTGAAAAGGTGAATATATGGGTGACTACTATAGGGTTTAGGGTCTAAACTCCTTGAAGGGGGTTATATAGGGGGTTATGATAGGGGATATTAAGGGGTATATTACGGGCTTGGACTATAGCTCAGCTCATGTTTGTTTGCTAAGCTGGCGAGGACATCCTTTCTCTAAGGTAACGACGGGGTCAAGTCAGTAGAATCTGCAGTGGTGATCTAGATGTCGGTCTGTCTTAAAACAACCCCTAGGGTTGTGTTGTTTACGGTTATGGTAGCTTCCAAAATTCGGGGGCTTCTAAAACAGCCCCCAAATATATGATAATCCTTAGGGACGCCTAAAAGGGTACCCATAATTTCGGGACACCCCTATATATCCCAGAGGTCCTAAGGGGCCACCTATCAAGCTTTGGTGGCTGATGGCCCTGTCACTTGAATCGCTCATGTGCGCATGTGAGATCCTCATCTCCTTCAACTATCTCCTTCAACTTGGACTGAAATCGGCGCATAAGAAAATCGAATGGAGTCTTGAAGCATATCATACTATAGTCATATTAGGATTCTACTGGGAGTAGTCGTGGTAATTATTCAGGGTTAACAGTGCGGCCACAGCTGGGAGCATGCAGGCCGTGCGTTTCCAGACGGACTCCAATGGCCAGGAGAAACCGGTAGCCTTCCATGGGCTCGTTGGAGGCTGATCTGCACCACTCAATACATATGGAGAATTCTTCCAAACGCTGGGGACCTCACGGATACACGGGGCTTCCGAGAGGATTTAGAGGATCCCTTTCAGGATTGTAGAGGGATTGCTTGTACAAACTGCCAGAAAACCAGGGAGATTCAATTAGAATTCTTTGGAAAGTCATGAGTTCCCCGATTCTCGTGTAATCGAACTTATTCATAAAGAGTTTCACTGGTGTCTGTCGCACCACATAGTCAAGGATGAACACATGCAGGGTTGACTGAGGCTTGCAAAGATAGGTGGGCATTCCCCAAAGCTAGAGGTAACTTTCTGGGGGTACCCATATTAAGGATTTTAGTATTTGGAGTCTATATGAGCTACTGTCTAAACTCCTAGTATCCCCCTTAATATCCCCTATAGTAGTCCCCTATATAATTCCCTATATACCCCCCCTTCAAGGAGTTTAGACTATGGCTCATATCGGAGTCCCTTTTTTGGGAAACCACCAGGTGTCCTTAGAATCTCTATCACACCAAACCTCGTGACATCCATTTTGAATATACTGCCAGCCCCCCCAGCTGCCCTTAGTTGTGGTCTGTGTAGCTCCTATCTGTGGGTATTTGGGGCTTATAGACATTCGTAGAGGGCACTGGGGAGTGCAGGCTAGTATGAGGTAAGGGGACAATAGAAACGGCCCAAATTCAGCTTTAACAATTTCGGTTTATATATGGGTCCTAAGTCCTGATGGCCAGCCCTATACCATTTCGACGTCTGCACTCTGAACTCCAAGCCCCAAAGTCTTCAAAACTCTGAGAGCCGCTCTCCTTCGGGGCTTCGGTCCTGAATCCTGAGTTCCAATGTCTCAAAAAACCCGATAGCTTACAGTTCAGTAGTTAATTCCCCACACCTTACATAATTAGTGGGAATTGGGCGAAGAAGCTGGCCCAAGCCCCTAAAGGAAGGTCAGAAGCCTTAGCCTAAACCCTGAACCCTAAACAAAGGAAAGTCGTTCCGCCCACCGGAGCTGCATGACCACAAGCCATACCTGGCGACCAAAGTGGACTCTTGGTGCTTGGGAGCCTTGGCCGAGTTGATAGGGAGGGTTATATTGGGATTATGGAAAATAAGATAGAAACTACTATTTAGGGTTTAGTGTTTAGGGGTTTTTGGGATATTACACCAATAATGGAGAGCCAGAAGACCAAGACAATGGAACACGCATGACATGGAAACTGGGGTGTTTGAGAGGTCTATAGGGTAGGTTTGTGAGAATGCTGGTGACTTTTTGTGTACCCTAAGATTCGGGGCGGTACAGTACCGCCTGGAGCCAAGCAAGTCGCCAGTTGCCAAACCCTATGTACTAAGCCCTACATGGTCTTTTGCGCAAGGTTGGAGCACATTCTACTTGCTCACGGCGCAGCCACTGTTCATGAGCGCAGACCCCGCCCTCAAGGACTTCAGAATCCTGTTAAGGGAGGGTTTTTTACCCTTCGAGATTTGCAGGCTTACGCATGGGAATATGCCTCTCTAGGGCTTAGGGCTGGGGAGTATGGGCTCTCAAAGGTCCCCATGACGACATTAAGGGAGCTGACGTGGAAGATTCGACATGTGATGAGAGGGCCCGTTTGAGTAATGACAGTCACTACATGTAAGAATAGCCGGGCTTTTTTGCACGTTTTGCGCGGAGTAGCCATGGAATGCCGATTACAATAGAAGTTCGGATGAACAATATGTCCAACATAGCAATCCATCTCAGTCAGTCACCTGCCGCTGAGTGATAAGACACCTGACCCTCCCAAGAATATTCATGTCCAATTTGCTGCCAGCATATTAGGCCAATTTTTGTCAGAGTCGGTGGGGGGTTGATCTAAGGGGAGGTCGGGAGGCGTTCAATTTCGAGCGCGGTCGGAGCACAGGATCCAACCGAACAAATAATGTAAAAGCCATATTGTGGTTTTAGGTACATATGTGTATATGTATATATATATGTTTGTATACTAAAGCACCCATGACAAGTAATCTATTTGTGTGATATCTTGATTCTTGTTATGTAGTCCTAGATTCCTGGTAGATGTACGGAGGATAGAGGTCAAAATGAGTCATTCTTCACGCCCCGGTATTAGATAGAAAGTCCAGGTGCACCCCAAAGCAGTGCTGTCGATACTTTTTCCTTGTCAGGGTCTGAAAATCCAAAGGTCAAGGGAGACAGCGAGCCATCCGTGTAATCCCCTTACCCTATTATCAAACCCCCCACCGCCTTAATATTATATACTCCCAATATATGAAAATATACCACAATGGGAGTATTTGATATTAAGGGCGGTGGGGGGTTTATATTAGGGGGACGGATTAATCTTCCTGAACACTCATTTGTAGCGATACCGTTTTCGATCAGCGGCCAGGACAGCGATTGGCAGCTCTTCAAGACACCTGGCACCAGGGTTTGGGGTGTTCTTCATGGGCAATTGAAAGCGACCTCACCCAACCTCACCCTAAATGGTGGTTTATATAGGGAGTAGTACCACAATGGCCTTCAATTCGGCATTGAAATTGTTCTACATTACCGTGAAGTTACGCATGTTTTAGGATGAGGCGGTTCACGTTCTGGGGATCAGGGCTGGTTTAGGGAATTGGGTGTGCCACTTTGACTTGAGAAGCGCCGCGTACCACCCCTACTAATCCTCTTCCCCTTATCTTCCCCCCTAATATTAAATATTCCCCATAGTGGTAAATTCTCATACATTGGCAGTATTTAATACTAGGGGGTGGGTTCTATATTAGGGGGAGGGGATTACAGGAAAAGCCAGGAAGTTGGAAGATCAGTATCCAGCTGTTCGGCCTTGTCTGTGCCAGGATCCTCCAGAAAAACCATGGAGCACATATTAGCTTGAGGGCATCCATGCTTCAACCTCCGCTGGGGCTTTCAGAATTGCAGGAGGCGCACAAAATAGAAGTAAACGCATGTTTCTTTTTTGTTTCCGGCGTGACGTTATTGCGCCTGGCCGGTTTGAGCCGTTGTAGTCGCCATCCTTTAGTATAAGGTTTAGGGTTTAGGGTGAGCAGGCATGCCGACAGAGTTTTTTTTTTTTGTTTTCATCTCTTGGTGTTGCTTGGCATCACAGCGACGAGGAGCGGAAAGTTTGATGAGCTCTTCAAGACCAAATCGCCCAATTTTTCGTTCCCGTGTCTGCATATAGCTAGAGCACTGCTAGGGTGTTCCACGGTGGATCTATGAATTTCAGCACCATGTAGGATCCACTTGACGCAGCCATGCTTTGTATGTCCGCTGTTTTGGGGTGGTGCAAGATTCCCTGCATGCCCGGCAGGTTGCTGTGGGGGCTTATCTTCTTCCTTTTTGGTAAGGTTTCCAGGGCTGCAGCCACAAAAGCACGTGCAAACGTGGTTCTAAAGAGTGTTCCAGGACATGCTAGCGGCTGTTCAGAAGCGTGTTTACAGGACGTGGTGCCAACAAGTCACATGCTCTACGTTGGCCTTAATGAGGTTGCTGTGGCAGCTTCAACTGCAGTTGTCAAATTTAGGGGCCCGACGAGGTTTAGGAGAACAGTGCACCAGCCTTACAATTAGTTGGAGCGCTATAGTTGTTGATGGAGTGTTCGTATTTGCGGCACGTAAGGGTCCATCAGTTTGGACGTGGGCATCTCACATGTCGGGGGTTATATGGGGTTTAGCGATATATATACATATATACATATATTTATTGGGATAATGGAAGAGAAAATGGAGACTACTACATTGGGGTTATATAGGGTTTAGGGTTCGGGGTGAGTGGGCAGCTTCCGGCAGTCGCTCAAGTCCGGGTTGAAAAAAGGGTGTTGCCCATACAAGCAGCATCGCACCAAGCAGACAACCTCCCTATCCCTGTTAGACAAAGTTGGAATTTTCCTCATAATTGCTACGTGGGATGCACACTGGTTTGTTTTAGAAGGCGGGCCTGCCGATTCCTTTTCCATATCCATTCTTGGATGATGAATCCTTCACCAGGCCAACGGGCATTGACTTCATCTTCAAATTGCTGCAATTTGAGCCTTCGAAGCGGATGTCCATCGCAGATGCCTGCACTTTGGCAGAGTAAAAGTTTGTGGAGGCCACAGGCAGGGCAGGTCCCAGGTTGGGGGTTTATGGAACACAGTATGTTCAAATGTGTGGTAGTTCGTGACAATTGTGTCCCTGCTTGGATCCCTTCTGGGTTTCCAAAAAGGATTATGGATAAGCTTGTGTCTGGCAAGGTTTGACAGTACTGCTCGAGATCTTAAGCTGGTGACTGAGGGAGGTACAGGGCCAGCGTCCGGTTCGAGAGCAAATGTGGGGATTTCCCAAAACTAGGGGTACCTTCTTGGGGGGGTCCCTATAATAAGGATCCTAGTAGATTAGGGTCTATATGGGGGTCCCCTTGTTTTGGGAAACTACCATGTAGCTTATGTTCCAGAAAGGGTAGTCGGGTCTGGATTCATAAGGTCATACCGAGACAATTAGTTGCATCTTCCTTTCCATGAAGGACGGAACATCTACATGAAAGCTGTTCCTCGCACCCGCACAACTGGTACGGGTGGACTGATCCGGGTGATGTGCATTCCAAAATCTCCATGACCCCAAAAGAATCTAAAACCATAAAGCCTGCAGATGCAACATACGCACGAACTTTGCTCAGGCAAGCATGATGCCTGGCTGCAGCAAGATGTGGCCGTGCGTTTTGTGTGCTGGACCCTGAAAGCCTGGCAATAATGATCAACTTCCAAACTCTACCAGATTGGGAACCCAACCTGGGCCCCAAACTACCATAATCTCCATTATGGGGACCCCCCCCAAAAAGGGGCCTGTAATTTTGGAGGAACAGTCATTTTGCCTTTCAAGATCAACCCTCAGAAGTTCGGAGTAGTTGGAGGGTCAGGGAGACTTAGTAAGTAGGTCAAGAAAAAGGCTTGCCTGGGGCTATTGTATGAGCTAGTCCAAATTCCTTAAAGCGGGTTACATAGGGGACTACTATAAAGGATATTACGGGGGATGTTAGCAAAAAGCAAAAAAATATCTCATATGGATTATTGGGTATACTTACTACACCCACCTACTCTCCAAGTAAGAGCTATGGCTTTAAACCTTAAAACCTGAATCATAAACAGTAGTTTCAATTTTCTTTTCCATTATCCCAATATAACCCTAATATAGCCCCTGTAGAACCCTAAAACCTAAACCCTTAACAGTGGTTTCCATTTTCTCTTCCATGATCCCAATATACCCCAATGTAACCCTAACATCGCCCCTATAGAACCCCAATTGAGTAGCATTTATTTGGAGATGCTATGGTACCCATTATAGAGTAAGATTATATCCTCCTTTTGGGGTATAGTATTTTATACAAGGATTATGATCTTACTGGGTTTTACCACCA